AAAAAAAATGTTGCAAACTGACGTTTGAGCAAAAAAAAAAAAAAAAAAACAACCTGTGGGAAAACGCAGCTAATCGCGGCAAACCGCCAATGCAAAAACGCTAAAAAAAAGCTGAAAAACTCACGTTTTTAACATCACTTTACACAGCCATTACCATTACATTACCAGCGTTATCAAAACGTCCCGTGTGCATGAGGGCTTAGTCCGATGCATGTTATGCTGGACCTTGGAGGGCCACTGTTGCACTTAGTAGCCCCATATCACTCACAGGCAGGGGCGGACTGACCATTTGGAAAGTCGGGCACTACCCGAGGGCCCGGGGTCAGTAGGGGGCCCCATGAGATGCCCCTGGTACCTTTTTCATAGGCTTTTTTGAGTTTGGGCAAGGACACAGGGGCCCCATGATCCCCTATTGCCCGGGGGCCCCATGAGTTGTCAGTCCGCCCCTGCTCACAGGTTTGGGAAATGCTCTGCTAAAGTCTTTTTCAATACGTATTCTATCAGTTTTGGTCATCCAGCTGCATGCTTGTTGATTACATTACATTATGGCACATTGCAGCTCCAATTAAGGCCGGGCATACATGAGTCGAAATTCGACCGATTTTTCATCCGAAAATCAGACCTAAGAATAATCGTCCAATTTTCGCTCTGTTAGTGGGTCAGTGGCACCGTCTGATTTTCGTGGTTCCTCCCCTTTTTAGTGATTGGGCATGTTGGAAAATGCGTGAAAAACAACCAATTTTCGACTTATTGGTCAAATCGTACGATCGTTTTTCCGAAAAGAATATGCGCATTTGCCATGACCTAGAAGGAAAAGAAGTTTTGCCTGTTATATGGGGTAAACGTTATGACTTGGTCGACCGATTTTCGAAATCATTGATGGCACCATCGGATTACCGAGCGAACAAAATTTTTGATTTTCGGACAAAAAATCATTCGGAATTCGAACCATGTATGGCCTGCATAAGTCTTTGCTAAAAGCACCACCCTGACATAGCCCTAAGAACCAGTTCATTTGGGCATTTGAAGGTGTTAAAGATGAACCCTGGAATTAGGGGGAAAAAAATCTATTCTTGGAGCACTTTCAAACAGGTGGGGCCAGGGCTGTACATTTGCTGCAGCCACAATTCTTTATTATCACGGCCGGGGCATCTTTACCTCAAGGTGCAGAATTTGCACCAGCTGTCAGACTTGCCTATTGAGTTCAATGGGGCCGCACTGCAACCGCAAGAACATTTGGCTTGCAGTTGTAGAGCAGATCTACAAAGTAAAATTGCCAGTCAGCAATCTATAAATAAAGTAAAAAAAAAACAAAAAAAACAGGCCCATCAGGTACTGCTATACTGCCCCCTGAAGAGCAACCCACCGCGTGCTTTTCAGTGGGTGGTAAGCAGTACCATTAACGTGAAGGAAACCTTACAGTAGGTCCCTCCCTGTACTTACATGCATGTTTAGTCTCGGGGTGTGGGAATAATGTGTATACTCACCCTATCCCTTGCTCCAGCCTTGTTCTCTTTAGCCCAAAGCAACAGATTATGGGCAGTCCTTCAGCATCATCATATACAATGCAGGATGATTAACCTTCCATTGTAGGTAAAGGAGGCAAGCATGCAACCATGACCGAGAGTGCCTAATGCCCCGTACACACTACAAGAAAATCGTACCAAAATTTTCGTACGAAGACCGATCGTCCGATAATCGGATCATTAGTACACAGCTTTCGAGAGCCGATCACGACAATTTGTATGACAATATCCGAAGGGACAAGTGCAAAAATTTTTCTCGTACGATACCAGATCGTATGATTTTCGTTTAATCAATACAGTAGTTGTCTGAAAATACAATACAAATACAATGCAATACATGACATCACTTTCGAAATTCTTTTCTTTCATAGGAGAATTTTCGTATCTTTTAGTAACCTTTTCACTTTCAATGTGAGACAAGCAGGCGAAAAAAAAAAACGGCCGATCGTTCGTCCGATATTCTCATCATGTGTATTGGGCATTAGAGAGGCAGAAGCACTGGACTGGTCACATGGATGGAGGAAGCCTGCCTGATCCAGGAATAAGCTACGTATTACACCTTATCCCTGCCCCCCCAGACTAAAGCCTAGTACAAACAATGAGAAAATCAGATGAAAAATACCACTTTCAGAGCGATCGTCCGAAAATCTGATGGTTAGTACACAGCTTTCGAGAGCAGATCATGACAGTTCATGCAAAAATATCCGAAGGGACAAAACATGAAAATTTTTCTTGTATGATACCAGAACGAATAATTTTCATTTACCCCTGGTTCACATATATGTGGCTGTGCGGGCCGCGTTTTGCGCTGGCCTGAGAGCCCATTCATTTGAATAGACTCCCATGCCACGCAGGGAAGAAGTCCCTGCACTACTGAAAACGCAGCATGAACGGAAACCGAAGTTCCCAGTACGGTTGCGTTTTCCAGTGCGAGCGGCATGCCATTACTAATGGCACCTGCCCGCGGGTCCGCATTCCTCTATGCGGGTGGTGCGGCTGCACAGATTTTCTTGCGGATCCACAGCGGCACCAGCCTCACATATTTGAACCTAGCCTTTATCAGTACAGTATTAGTCTGAAAAAAAAATTGAATAACCAAGACCACGCATGTTCAGCAACAAAATACATTCCAATACATGACATCACTTCCAAAGTTGTATTCTGTCGTTTTAGTAACTTCTTCATTTTCAATATCAGACTAGCATGTAAAAAAAACAAAAACAAAAGCCCAGTTCATCTGCAACCATTCCTCCCAATCTAGAGAATGTCAATATCTGGTGTGTGAAGGCTCACAGGTGAAGTCATTAGCAGGGTTCCATAGACTTGTTTTAATCACCTGGACCCTGGCATGGCGGTATCAGATGTGTTCTTTTAGCTCCAAAGGGAAACATACAATGTACAATCACCCTGATCACACCACAACACGGTGCAGGAAACCTTCATTCCGTTTGCGTTTCCCACACCACATTCAAAACGCACTGCCCTTGTGATCTGCAGTGGGTGTCAATGCAATGCTAATGGCACCCCAAAGACAACTCACATGGTACAGAAGTATTATGCATTCCAGTTGCAGTGCATTTTTTTTTTTTAAGTATGCATGCACTATTTTCATGCGCTGAGCAAACTGTTGGCGCTATATAAATACTGTATAATAATAATTTTCTGTGCAGTGTGATTGCAGCCTATTCAAATGAATGGTCTGAAAACGCACTGCACTTAACCTGCCTGATTGGATTTGAATTGAAGGTATGGTTCAGGTTTGCCCTCCTATTATATAGTTTTGGTAGGAGATTGTTCAATCAGATAGTACTGCACTATGGTATATGGCCAGATTTATCCTGACATTTAACATAAAGCCCTGGTACACTCTATGATTCACATAGGATCATGCAGCTTGTTCATGTTCGATCCACACGTGATTCGGTGCGATTTGAACACACTCATTTTGAACGGGCTCAGATCATCCTGCATTGCACCAAATGTACTGCATGTGCCACTTTTGGAAATGCATTACAACCAGACTGCATGGCACATTATTACCATGCGATCCGGTGCAGGCAAACATACTGCATTTGTGACTTGCGTTTGGGGTCACATAACTTAACATTGACATCTCCTGCAGATTGCAAGTGCAGTGCATTTTGAACACGGCATGGGAAACCTGCTTTAAAACAGGGGTCTCAAAACTTTCTAAACAAAAGGACAGGATTATGGTCCTTCAGACTTTAGGGGGGCTGGACTATGGCCATTGGAAGTAGAAATTGTCCTGGTTGTCAGTGGGAGTAACAGGCATTAGGGGGGAATAGTGCCCCATCATTGGTGTCAGTGAGAGGAATAGTGCCCCATCATTGGTGTCAGTGAGAGGAATAGTGCCCCATCATTGTGTTAGTTGAAAATATAGTGCCCCATTATTGGTGTCAGTGAAAGGAATAGTGCCCTATCAATGGTGTCAGGGGAAAGTAGAGTGCCCCATCATTGGTGTCAGTGGGAGGAATAGTGCCCCATCATTGGTGTCAGTGGGAGGAATAGTGCCCCATCATTGGTGTCAGTGGGAGGAATAGTGCCCCATCATTGGTGTCAGTGGTGGGAGGAATAGTGCCCCATCATTGGTGTCAGTGGGAGGAATAGTGCCCCATCCTTGGTGTTAGTTGAAAATATAGTGCCCCATTATTGGCATCAATAAGAGGAATAGTGCCCCATTGTTTGTGTCAGTGGGAGTGAAGTTGCACGATTTCAAAGTCATATCCAGTGTGAACCAGGGCTTATTGACACAAGCATGTCTGCCCATAGATCTGCATGGAGCTTCTGATTAGGTCCACCTGAAAAACCAACTGACGGGCAGTTTTTAACAGTCCTCAAAAAAGCAAAAAAACTAAATCTGTGGCAAATTATTTTTCAGATCACAGTGCAAAGGTATTTAGGAGACAATACTGCTGCTGCCTCCTGCATGCTGTTTTTAAATCCCCAATGTGATTTTCTTCTATCCCCAGGGGAATTTTACATTAAAACACCATGGTTCCTGCACTTCTTAGATTGTAAGCTCCTAGGATCAGGCCCTCCTAACCCTCTTGTATTGAACTGTATTGTCTCCCTTTATATTGTAAAGCTCTGAGCAAACTGTTGGCGCTATATAAATCCTGTATAATATTAATAATGCTGCAAACATCATAGCCACAAATGGGACGGGATTGTGGCGTGGTCCCCGTGACATCACTGCGTAAGTTTGACAGGCAGTGCTACCTTGTCCGACTCCAAATGATGAGTTCAAAATTCTGCTCCAAAAAGTGTCACCGCAATGCAAACTTTTTGTGGAAACGTTGCACTTGTATACTAACCCTCATCAGCCCAACTTGTAGTCCCGCAAACAGCTGTGGGGAAAATTGCACCACCAGGCCATTGGAAATCATGCAGCGTGACACATAACCCCGACCACAGTTACATAACTTCACACATACAGTCATACAATCCACATACCGATGCCTTCCATAAAGACGAATCCAGTGATGATCAATACGGGGTGCCAGTTAAATTCCGCACTGTCTCCGTTCCATGCCAGTCCATCGCTGTAATGCAGCACCCAGACCAGGACAAAGATAACCAGCGCAAATCCCAGCAGCAGGGAGGAGATGAGGAAGAAGAGGAAACTTTTGTAGCCCTCCATCTTCAGCCGTCCATGCTCTGCTAGTGAACTGGCTGGGTAGAGTCTGCAGGCCCACACCTCCTTCCCTCCCCTTATGTGATGGATGGAAGAAAGGAGGAGAGACAGAGGAGGGCCATTTCTCTCAGTTTTTCTACTCACTGGGTCTTCTGTGTTAAAATAACAGAGGAAGAATGTGTTGTGCAACCTTGGCCTGGCTCAGGTCCCAAAGCATCTACAAGTGATTCTAGTGTCAGTCACTCAGTTACTCAACACACTGCTCAGATGTAGACAGCAGAACGCACTGTACAAACACAACCTCGGCCGAAACAAAAAGCAACATATATTCTTTATAAAATGCAAACATTATCCAGGATTAATCCCTCCTAGATTGTAAGCTCCAAGGAGCAGGGCCCTCGAACCCCTCGTGTATTGAATCGTATTGTTACTGTATTGTCTCATGTACTGTCTCCCACTATAATGTACAGTGCTGAGCAAACTTTTTGGCGCTATATAAATACTGTATAATAATAATTTATATAGCACCAACATTCTGCGCAGCACATTCCAATATAAAGGGTTTCAGTACAGCTATAATACATATATAAACAATTATTATTATTCAGTACTTATATAGCGCCGACAGTGTGCTCAGCGCTTTACATTATGGAGACAATACAGTTCAATACAAGAGGGATTAGAGGCCCTGCTCCTTGGAGCTTACAATCTAGGAGGGAGGGGATAGTGGTACAAGAGGTAATTAGCTGTGGGGGATGGAGTGGTTGGAGGAGTAGGGGATTCCAGTATTAGCTGGGGTCAGGGTAAGCTTCCCTGAAGAGATGAGTTTTCAGAGTGCGCCTAAAAGTGAGCAGAGTAGGCGATAGACTGATAGGTTGGGGTAGGGAGTTCAAGAGGATGGGTGAAGCCCTTGAGAAATCCTGGAGACGAGCATGGGAGGAGGAGACAAGGGAGCTAGAGAGTACAATAAGTGCAACGCTAAAAAATCAATAAATAAATTGTATAAAAAAAGTATTTATTTTTTCTACAATTTTTTTATACAATTTCTATATTATTTTTTTAGCGCTACACTTATTGTTTATATATATTGTATAAGGTCTTTGGGCTCCTTTTTAGTGCACACGCTGCTGACCCCATTGGAATCCTGAGCACGCGCTGATTTCTCATCACACAGCTATAATACAATTCATGACTAGAGGGTCAGGAAGGCCCTCAGAGCATACAATCTAAGGCTAGGTTCACACCTATACAGTTTGCGTTTGATCTGTTTCTGCAGTGCTTTTTGTGGTGTGTTTTGCATTCTTGCACATGCGTTTTTGATACTTTTTTTCCAGCTTGTTGCTGGGCTGAGCAAAACGCATCAAAAATACATAAAAAATGCATCAAAAACGCACTACATGCATTTCTGCAGCGTTTCCATTGAAGTCTATTGAACCAAAAATGCAACGTTTTGCATTTAAAAATGTCCCTGACCCTTTACAAAAAACGCACCGGGTGAAAATGCAGAGATGTGAACCTGTCCCGTAGGAAATCATGTTAAATGGACTGCTGTGTGTTTCTGGAAAACGCATAGTTGTGAACCTAGACATAGGCTCCATGCACACTAGCGTTTTTCTTTAAGCTAACAAAAATGCTGGAATAAATGCTGGATAAAAAACACTGGTAATAGCAGTTTTTAGTAGCATTTTAGTAGCGATTAGAAACGTTTAGTATCATTAGCGTTTTATTAGCATTTTTACAGGACACGTATAGGAAAAAAAGCTAGAAAAAGCTGTTAAAAGCAATTTTGCAGCATTTAGCGTTTTTTTTTTTCTCTGCTGGAAAAATTCTCCAAAAACTCTACAAAACTATTTTTTTTTTCTGCTCCTAGATGCTGAAGCTAAAAAAATGCTAAAAGCCTAAAGTAGTGTGCATGGACACATAGGATAACACTATTTAGCTTCTAGGAGCCTAAAAAAATGCTAGTGTGTATGGAGCCTAAAAGGAGGGTGGGGGGCAGATGATACAAATAGTAATAACTGCCTGGGGATGAGGTAATGAAGAAAAAAAACTTTGTTAGGTATAGGTGGGATAAGCTTCCCTGAAGAGGTGAGTTTGAAGGGGGTAATCTATCAGCAAACAGAATAAGTGATAGCAGGACTGATTGGAGTGGGGAGTTCCAGGGGTTTTTGGAGAGGCTCTGGAGAAGTCCTGGAGGTGAGCATAGAAGGAAGCGACAAGGGAGCTAGAGAGCAGGAGGTCTGGGGACACGCTCAAGCGTGTTTGGATCCTAGACTGATCCCACTAGGAAGCTGTTACTGTACTGGGCCATTCCCAAGCTGCTCAGGCATTCCCTGCCCTGTAGCTGCATGTATACAAATGGTGTGTATATGTACAGTTGTAGAGTGGGGAATGCCTTGGTTATAATAGGCTGAGTACAGTAACAACTTCCTGGCGGGATCGCTGAGTTTGGTTTAGACTAGGAACACATCCAAGATCATCCCCCATTTGGTAGGGGTGGAAAGAGCAGTTTAGGTGATATTTTGAGAGGAGTTTGGGGATGTAGCTGATGTAGAGTTGTGGATGGTTTTGTACATTCATAAGACTTATGGTCTCTGCTCAAGCTCCTGTAAGTCCATCCAGTGATTTTTGCAATGGGTGCTGGCTGGGCAGGAGTCCATCTAACGCCTCACATACTGTGGATATGTATAGAGACAGGTCCCAAACACAGCACACCTAGCAAAGCCATTAGTAAACAGGTGAAAGCAGCCGCAGCCAGCTTCATCCAAAGCCATGGCACCAACGCGTTTCATCCCATCATCATGGCCTCATGGGCGGGGTGAAACACATTGGGGCTGTAGCTGAAGCTGGCTGAGGCTGCTTTCACCTGTTTACTAATGGTTTTATATGTTGTTACTATATTTAATTTTATTTGTTGGGCAAATGAAGCCAGTGGAGGGACTGGCAGAGAGGGGTGTTGGAACCCGAGAAGTTGATAGGGTGGATAGGCAGTTATCGTTTTACCTTTTTCTTGCAACATTAAAGCAGGTAAAGAAAACTGTGTACTAAGACTGATTTACTAAAGGACCTGACAATCTTTACTCAATAAATTGAATGAAACTGTAAACTGTACTTCAATTATCTGTAGCGCCCTCTAGATTGGCTAGGTAGGATTTTTGTTAGACAGAGTCTGGGTAGTAGCCTGGGATGAGTCAGTGTAGAAGTGAGGCAGGAGTTCACCTCAGGACAGGCTGGGAGGCTCTACAGGTCAGGTCTTCTGGAGCCCTCCCACCTTTCAATAAAACTTTCTGGAAGAGGGGCGAAGGGAAGGAGGCCCAGATCTTCATGTTTGAGGGAGCTTGGCCAATCCTCAGGCAGGAGACCAGGCTTAGTGACCAAGGACAACCCTTAAAGGTGGGAGAACCTGGGGAGCAGGTGTGCGGAGTCAGGAGGAAGATGGATTAAGAGAATGCTGGAGTGTGGAGTCTGGGAGGGGGCCCCAGGGAGGGGAGCCTACCTACAGGCAGGACACTGGAAAGAAGGATCTACACTGCCCAAAGCCTCCTAGGGAGGACATCCTGTGCAGCAGGGAAGGATCCAGTGCAGCGTAAGGCCTGAAAGCAACCCATCAAGTTAACTGGACAGGACAGTGTGAGTACTTCTACACCACCAAATAAAGGGAGAGGGTGGTCAGGTGCAAGACCCAACTAGTTCTGATCCAGTGCTACTTAATTGTTAGCTCTTGTAATCCTGTGCCCAGGGATACCCTCAGTGCAGCTGGGTGAAGAGGAGGATTCATCTGCGGTCTGAGGAGCTACATCGGACTACAGGGGACTATAGTGCTCCTTACAGAGCCAGTGCTAATTTATTGATACACACATTTGTACAGTGTACAGGTTGCTAAGATGTTTGTCCTCAATTTGGAGTTCTTTGGGCATCCCATATACCCCTAGATCCTATCCAAGTTGTTAACCCTTAATAAAACCAACTAAAAACCAGCTCAAGTACTGTTTACGGACTACAAGTGTGCAAGTGTGGAAGATGCATGTCGCCTGGCTGTGCAGAGCTTAGGGGGACCGAAAACAAATTCAGGGGCCCTTTAGAGAGTAGTGCTACATATCTAATCATCTGAAAAGCAAACTCCCGCTTACCTTGAATACCCAGTCATGTGCAGATGAAATCCGTAAACAGGAATTTGCTTTTCACATAAATGGATAATTCAAGTGAATGTTCACAAAATTCATTGAGTGAAAATTCTCATCTCCTTTAGCCCTTATTTTATCAGGGTTCCTCCCACTCCCCGATATCACTGCATGATAGTTAAAAAAAAGAAAAATATGTGTGGAAAAAAATATACTCACTTTCCACTCATGGCAGCTACAGAAGAGTGACAACATGATCCTTCTGGTGAGATCCTGGGAAAGCTGAGGATCCCTAATCACAAGAAGATTCTAGGGTGCATGATGCTGCTATGTTTTAGCTCCCATGTGACTGGGCCAAAAAACCTGCAACATGACAGACTGCTTACACTGAGTGATTCCGGTTACATAGTTACATAGTTAGTCTGGCTGAAAAAAGACAAAAGTCCATCCAGTTCAACCATTAAAAAAAAAGTTATAATCCTATACCCACAGTTGATACAGAGGAAGGCAAAAAAAACCCAGCAAAGGTGAAGTCCCTATTGCAATTTTTTTCCCATTTCATACAAATACAACCGTAACCATGTATGTACAGTTGTGCTCAAAAGTTCGCATACTGCAATTTCTGCATTGGTGCAGTAAAAGCTTCTTTCTGGCACCTCGACCAAACAGCTCATTTTTGTTCAAGTATCACCGTATCGCACTCCTTAAAAACACCCACGCCACCTTTTCCAGAGCAGCCTGTATTTCTTTTGAGGTTGCCTGTGGGTTTTTCTTTGTATCCTGGACAATTATTCTGTCAGTTATGGCTGCAATCTTTCTTGGTCTACCTGACCTTGGCTTTGTATAAAGAGATCCCCGAACTTTCCACTTCTTAATAGGTGATTTAACAGTACTGATTGGCATATTCAAGGCTT